TGGTGCCAAAAAAATTAATTAATTAATTAAAAAAGAGAAAGAAATTGAAATAAGAATCAAATTTGGGTTAAAGTTCTCTTTGATCAGAAATTCTACTTCTAGAATCTCTCTCAAGGGTAAGAAAGCAAACAAAGATTCAGGTAAAGAAGTGTTTATTACAGTTTAACTTATAATAATTGTGAACAGAAAAAACAACTTAAAAAATGCTTTAAGGCTGGGCATGGTGGCACACGCCTATAATCATAGCACTGGGAAGGCTTGAGGCAGGAAGATTGCTATGAGTTTGAGGCTAGCCTGGGATACATAGTAAGTTCAAGGCCAGCCTAAACTACATAGTGAGACTCTTGTCTCAAAACCAAAACAAAACAACAAAAAGAAAAAATAAAAACACAAGGGGCTAGGATTTAGCTCAGTGGTGCAGTGTTTGCCTACTCAGCAAGCACCAAGTCCTGAGTTTGATTCCTGGTACACACACACACACACACACACACCCCTACTTTAAATTAAAAACAACTCCTCCAGGACAAATCCTGAGGGCATTTCACTGACCTTCTCAGACCAAAAAGCTACAACTCTTGTTGCATAGGTCTTGCTTTACCTTGGTCTTAACCATCCAGTAGAAAAGTATGAAGTCGAAATATAAGAAATAAAGCCATGCTGTTAAGTTGAGCTGTGGGGGACTCAGGTCAATAATTTCTGACATTGCCAGTTAAACAGAAGACCCAATGCTATTATGGGCTACTGGACTCTTTTAGAATATTTTGCTGAGTTTACACACCTATAATATTCAATAACGGAACTTAGAAAAAAATGGGGTATACTGATGAATGTCCATTTTGTATCTGTGTATTCAAAGAGGTTGGGATAGATATATAGATGCATTCTCTTAATGAATAGAATGATTTGTTTTAATGGTGTTTGTAAATAGGACCACAAGTCCGCATCTTGTACAGCAATTCACCACTAAGAAGAATATATGCAGTGTATTATTTGTTGAAACTGTACTTCCGATTTTATTTGAAACTGTCTCATTGCTGTTTATCAATAAAACTTTGAAAAAAAAAAAAAACAACTCCTCTTCCTAAAGACTGATCAAAAGATTGGTCATCCAACCTATCCATGGAATGGAATATTGTATAAATATCACTGAAATGATGTTTATGAAGAGATTTTCAAGTCTCAATACTTTTAGAGTTTAAGTACTTTAACCACATAACATAACATGCATTCTAATAGTCTACCCTTTCTACACATGAGCTCAGCTATTAAAATATGCTTTAAAAGTGTAGACTAGTCTGTATTACATTGTATCATTTTTATATTAAGTAAAGGTCTGAATAGACTCCTGTGCTTGTATATGCAATGATTACCACTAAAGGTGACAAAAATTAGTAACATTTGCCTTTAGGACAGAGAACTAGATATTGAGAACCAAGGATTTATTTTTCAATACAAACCTTTAGCTTCCAAATCACTTCTTTTAAGGATAAAAAGTAAGAAATAATACAGATTACATACAGTGAAATCAATAGTAAATGGTTAATGAATTATTTTTAATACGTGTGTTAACTCTTACATGAACAAGTAAATATAATGTAAAACCAGGAGACATTCTTTTGCATGAAAATATTTTGGAGGAAATATATTAAAATGGGACTGGCAAGATAGCTCAGTGAATTAAGCGCCTGCTTAGGCAAGCGCAGAGACTGGAGTTTGATCCCTGGTACCACATGCCAGTCCAGTCCTATCCCAGGTGCAGAGCCAGTGACCGAGTCAAGGTGTGGTGGCACACGCCTATAATCCCAGTGCTGGGCATGGGAGGTCGAAAACAGGAGGATCACTACGAGCCTGACCTGATTTTGTAGTGAAACCCTGCACAAAAAAAAAAAGAAAAAGAAATATACTGAAATGTTCACAGTCATTTCTGAGTGGGTGTAATGTCAAGTAATTTTAAGTGTTCTTTTTTTTTTTTTTTTTACACTTTTTAAATAAATTTCAGAGCTTTTATAATGAGTATATGCTTTCACAGTGAGAGTGTTCTGTGAACAAAAAGATGACTGGCAACAGAATGGAGGATAATGTAAGGTCATTGTAGTGGCTTTCCTTATTTTAGATTAAAACAATGCATAAGTGTTTTGAATTGCCAATGTGTGTGTGTGTGTGTGTGTGTGTGTGTGTGTGTGTGTGTATTACTAGAGATTAAACCTTGGGCCTTTGCACTGAACTACATTCCTTCTGTACTTTGTATTTGAGATAGAGTCTCACTAAGTTGCCTAGGCTGGGTTCAAACTTGTGATCGATCCTCCTGCCTCTCAAGCTGCTTGGGATTGTAAGTGTGCACCACCACACTCAGCCAGTTATCAATGATTACTGAAGCTTTGTCTCTTGTACCATGATAAATTGAAAAGTGAAGGCTATGAGACAGTTTGAGCATCCAGTGTTATCTTTTTCTCCATGTAAATACTTTGCCTGAGTCTGAGGGTCCTGAGCATGTTCCATGCCTGCCAAGTATGCCATGTCATGTGCAGATTCCTAGAAGAATGAAACTGAGGGTCTCAGATAAAGGCTTGAGAGCTGGGAGCAAAGAGCAGCAAGAGCAGAGGCCACACCAGGCCAACAGTGACAAGTTCAAAGAAATTTTATTAAAAGACTGCCAGGGAGATGGCTCAGTAGAATAAGTGTTTGCCTGGCAAGCGCAAGGGCCTGAGTTCAATCCCCGGTTCCGCAAAAAAAAAAAAAAAAAAAAAAAAAGACTGCTATTAATCCTAATTGTCTGATTTTTCTTCAGGAGAGCCTTTAATATATTTTATTCAAATTTTTTTTTGATACAGGATCTCACTATATAGCTCGAACTCATAGTGATCATCTTGTCTCAGCCTCTCCAGTGCTGGCACTACAGCTGCATGACACCATGCCAGGTTCTGGGGCTGGCAAGGTGTGCTCAGGGTTCCAGGGCTGGCATGGCATGCTGTACCAGGGATAGAACTTGGGACCTTGAGCTTGCTGGGCATATGCTTATGCTGCTGAGCTTTTTCCCCAGACCTTGAAGAGAGCTTTAAACCATCTACACTCATTAGCTTCTTGTCCTTAGAGCTTATCTGAAAGGTCCAGGTAGCTAATTCATCAGTTTCATTCCCTTTCTTTTTCTTGGGATAGAAAAGCCAGAAATTCCCAAAGAGAGTATTTGACGTTAGGGTGACCTCTCACCCTTTCTGACCACTTGCCCAGCCCATTTGAGTATCTAGTATCAAGCAAGAGGAGAGACTTAAAATGGTGAAACATGGTACCTGAACTTTCTGTGATGTACAATTAAAATGTCAAATCAAGTCATAGGACCAAGTGATAGATTATGGGGTTCAGTTTCAAACTGCTCTGGGAAAAGAGAGGATGGTGGTAGCCTTGGCACATACAAGTATTTTCTGAATTAGTGAATGAGCAAATTAAAGATTAAGGTTTTAAAAAATGAAACTATAAGACTTAAGTTCACACCTCTGTGAATTTACTAGTTTACCAAGACCTCAGCCATTGCTATCTCATCCAAGTCCTGAAATAGATGGGGTGATTGGGGGCCCTGGATAATGAAGTGACTTTCATTAAATCAATATCCACTTAACTGAGTCTGTTATGATTGGGATTTGTGCTAGAAGTCAGGCATGCATAAATGGAATACATTAAGCCCCAGATGCTTTGTCTAAAACAGGAGCCACAATAGTAAATAGTTCAGAAATGACACAAGTGCCATTAAATTGTTCTTGGACTATAGAAGCAGGAGTGCATGCTTCTGTTGTACACAGGGAAGATGATAGTTGGCTGGGACCTACAAGGAATAATGGGATTTTGTTATGGATAAAGCATATTCTAGAGGCTATGGAGATAGCTCGGAGGTCTATGTGCCTGCCTGGCAAGCTCAAGGACACAGTTCAATCCCTGGTACCCCATGCTGTGCCAACCACTGAAACTGGGCATGGTGGCACATCCCTGTAATCCCAGCATTGTGGAGGCTGAGACAAGAGGATCACTACAAGTCCAAGCTGAGTAGTGAGACCCTGTACCAAATAAAAATATGAATAAATAAGTAAATGAAAAAAAATTTTAAAGAGCATTCTAGGTAGAAGGAATATGTGCATAAAAGGACAAAGGCAAAAAATGCTGTGATATATCTGAATAAAGTATACCTTGATGTAAAGGTGATACAGGTTGATGGGGAAAAGGATTGGGAGGAAAACTTAAAAGAGTTTGTTCTTTGAGGGCCTGCCAGATAGCTCAGCAGATTAAAGCACCAGTTTAGGCAATGCAGGGCCTAGGTTCTGTCCAGCTGGCTCTGCCCCCCAGGGCATGCTGAGACCACAATTGAGATGGGGTGTGGTGGCACACACCTGTAATCCCAGTGCTTGGGAAGCTGAAAACAGGAGGATCATAAGTCTCATCTGTGTAGTGAGACCATGTAGACCCTGTACTAAATACATTAAAAAAAAAAAGGGTTGGTTCTTTGGTTCTTTCCTTGTCAAGCTGGAAAGTTTGATTTTAACCTTTATAGCTGTGGGGAGCTATAAAAGTTTTTAAAATAGAGATTAATAGCCCCACTTTGAACCCTGTGTCCTATGGTAGATTTCTTCTTGCCTACCATGTTTCCAGGCTAGGTTAGAAGCATCTTGTGGACTCCCTCGGGTAGGGCTTCCCTGTTTTATCACGGAACTACTGCTTTGTTACTTGTGTTCCACTGATCCCAGAAACTGGACATCATGTCTGATTCATTCCCCCTGCCCAGCATAGGGCTCACCCCAGACCAATGTGCTCAGTCAATATTTGCTGAAGGAATGAATGGGAGGAGCTGGGTTCCACCTCAGTCCTGAGAGAACATTGGAGGCAGGTGCAATGATGAAGTGTGTCCAAGTAGTGTGTATTTCCTCTGTGATGCTGGACTGAATGATATCGGAAGGGTGGGGACTCCAAGGTACGTTGGAGGTATGTTCCTGAGTGACCACAGATCTTTCTTGCAGATGGCTTCAGTGACTGATAGTAAAACTGGAGTCAAAGATGCCTCTGACCAGAATTTTGACTATATGTTCAAACTGCTCATCATTGGCAACAGCAGCGTCGGCAAAACTTCCTTCCTTTTCCGCTATGCTGATGATACTTTTACCCCGGCCTTTGTCAGCACTGTTGGCATTGACTTCAAAGTAAAGACAGTCTACCGTCATGAGAAGCGGGTGAAGCTGCAGATCTGGGTGAGTTCTGGGCCTCTTGGGCAGGATTTTCCAGAGGGATAACTAATCTGTGAATTCAAGAGCTGGTCAGAACTTCCAGGTCTGATAGAATCAGTCATGAATGCTATTGCAGATCTGGCCCCTGGGCTGCCTGTGCTGTTTTTACATAGGTTGACTTTCCTGAATGGGGAAGGGTTCTTGCTTCTGCTGCTTAGCTGCTCAAGAAGCTCTATCATGGCTCATGTAAATGAACAACTAAGAAACAAACTGGGTTTGGGATTAAGAGTCTTGATCTACCACTTACTAGCCATGGAAACTTGACTGGTAAACTCTTTGGGCCATCCTTTCTTTTTAGGGGATTATAATCACATCTATGTCATAAGGCTGTTGAGTGCTTAGTGTAACATAGGAAGTATACAATAAATGTTAGTTACTGTATCAGTTGATTATTACATAAGTTACTTTAAAACTTGGTGATATAAAACAACAATAGCTTATTATTTCTCAGTTTTGGGGGGTCTAACATTTGGGAATGGCTTGGAGCCTCTCAAGAAGTGTAGTCAGATATGGAGTTGACTGGAACTGAAGGATCTAATTCCAAGATGGCTTACATTCTCAGCCCTTTTTAATTTTGAGAAAAAGCCTCACTACATTGCTGCATTATGCAGGCTGGGCTTGAACTTACAGTTATCCAGGCTGAGCTTGGAATTATGAGCATGGGCCATCACATCTGGTTTACATGTACAAATTTTAGGTGGTATAGAAAGATGTAGATTATATACTTATAAATGAGTTAGCACTGGGATTTTGAAAATTTGTAAGAGTATAAAAAATGTATTATTTTAACTAGGAGCTTGGAGCTCACACCTGGGAGGCTGAGGCAAGCAGATCGCAAGTTCAAGCCCAGCCTGGGCAGTTCAGTGGCTTAGTAAGACCTTGCCTCAAAATAAAAATAAAAACAAGAAGTGGAGATGCAACTCAGTTGGAAGGTCCTGGATTCAACACCAGTACTACACACACAAAAATTATTTGGTATCTGTCCATTATACTTATCAAATGTACATTAATATACTATACATATTTCTTATTAGGGCATCTATATATAGTACTTTTTACAAATTATACCCTGCACACTAGTATTATCTCACAATTAACATTATGCAAGCAGATACTATTTTACTATAGAATAAAAAGCTCAGAAATTAACCTTCTTTAGGTTAATCCATAGCGCTCAAGTGAGATTTGAACTCAGATCTTTTGATTCTAAATTATGTGTTCTTCATAGTGCCTGCATGGTAAGCACAAGGTCCTGAGTTCAATTTCTGGTTACAAAAAATTATGTGTTCTTCTCTCTGAGTGCATCTGAGTCTTACAGAGCCCAAATTTCTGTTTATGATAATTTAAATATTAATTTGTTTACTCACTATTATAAGCATCAGTGTACCACCAGCTGTGGTGGCACATACTTGTAATCCCAGCACTTAGGAGGCTGAGGCAAGAGGATCGCCATAAGTTAGAGGCCAGACTGGGCTACATAGAGAGTCCTGCCTGAGTCTAGGCCAGTCTGAACTACATAGTGAGATCTTTTCTCAAAAAAAAAAAAAAAAAAAAAAAAAAAAAAGGAGGAGAAGAAGGCTTGGGATATAGCTCAGTGGCACAGCATCTGTCTGGTAAGTGTGAGGTCCTGAATTTGATTCCCAATACCAAAAAGAGAGGTGGGCAGAAATATATCTCAGTGCCACAGTAAGTACCTGACTGGCAAGTGCAAGGTCCTGAGTTCAATTTCTGGTGCCAAAAGAAAAGAAAAGAAAAGAAAAGAAAAGAAAAGAAAAGAAAAAAAAAGAAAAGAAAAGAAAAAGGTACCAAGGAATCATAAATCATTAGAAATGGGAGAAACTATAAAGGTCATCTAGTCCATTGTTTTTCAAAGTATGTTCGTTAGACCAATTTCATCAGCAACACTTGAGAATTTGTTAGAAATGTAAGTTCTTAAAGCCCACTTCAGGCATCTTGAATCAAAACACTGGGCTGAGGGCCGGGGAGATGGCTCAGTGGAATAAGTGCTTCCCTGGCAAGTGCAAGGACCTGAGTTCAATCCCCAGTTCCGCAAAAACAAACAAAAACAAACAAAACACTGGGCTGTGGACCAACAGTCTATGGTATATGTCTTCTAGGTGTTTATAAGGCTGTGGAGAACTACTGATCTAGTTTATCTTGTGATAAGAGTCAATATACATTTGCAGTGTAGGGATCAAACCCAGAGCCTTGCATGTGCTAGGCAAGTGCTCCACCACTGTGCTACACCCCCACAAGCATTTGTTAAAAACTCCTACTATGCACAGAGAGGTATGAGCTCACAGGGCAGGTAGGGCATGGTGAGCAACACAGGGCTGTGAAACATCAGGGAGGGGGTATGGAGAGGGAAATGTGCTGAGAGCGTACAGGTAGTCAACTGGGGGTCAGAGGAGCTTTGAATAACAGACCAAAGGTTTTTGATGTTGCTAGAGAGTATGTGTCTTATGACTCATAAGCTGCAATTATTAGAACTTATTTTCTTTCTTTTTTTCTTTGTGGTACTGGGGATTGAATTCGGAACCTTGTGCTTACCAGGCAGGACCTTATGCTGCTGAGCTATCTCCTCAGTCCTTTAGAGCTTATTTTATACATGTGGATGTAAAATAATTTCTCCTAGTTTTTTAAAAATATTTTTTAATTTTATTTTTATTTATTGTTTTTCATTTTATTTTATATTTTTTAAGCTGTTGTAACTATTATTTTATTTATTTATTAATTTCTTAATGTATTTTAGTACTGGGCCTCACTAAGTAGATCAGGCTTGTAGAGATTCTCTTGTTTTCAGCCTCCCAAACACTGGGATTACGGGCAAGCACCACCACACCTAGTCTCAATCACCATCACAGCATACCCTGAGGGCAGGGCCGGTAGGGCACACCAGGGATCGACTAAGCAGGCTCTTCAGTCTGCTGAGCTATCTTGCAGGCCCTGTTTTTTTCATTTTATGTATTTGGTACAGGGTCTCACTACGTAGCTCAGTCTCATAGTGATCCCTCCTGTTTTTTTTTTTTTTTTTAATCCCTCTTGTTTACAGCCTCCTAAACTCTGGGATTACAGGCATGCGCCACCACACCTGGACTCCATCAGTGGCTCAGTGTGCCCTAGGGACAGGGCCAGTGTGGCATGCAGGACTGGGGATCGAACCCTGATCCCTGAGCTTGCCAAAACAAGCACTTAGGCTGCTGAGCTATCTTGACGGCCCAGTTTCTACTAGTTTTTACTATGTGGATGAGATAGATGTCTTCATTTGGTCTCTTTGTTATGTGGTCACATATGCTACACTAAAAAAGTCTTGAAATAGAAAGGATTCTGACTTTCTAAGAATTGGCAGTGGTGGTTCCTTTACTTTGTTCATTTTCAGCCTATTCTGAGTTTTTGCAGTTTTATTATGCCTTAAGTCGATTTACTGATAATATAGTTAAGTTTTAACTAAATGAAGCCTCACAATGGGTATGTGGCTTTTAGAGAATCCTGTAAAGAAAGCCCTGATTAAAAACTGTGCCGACTACCGTCTAATAAATCCAACTGAGCCTGAGAAAATGGCCATGCTCATGTCTCCAACTCCCACTACAACTTCATTGTCAGCCACTTGTTGAAGTAAAATCAGTGAAGATCAAATTAGATCTGATATAGCCAATCACATTGTTTTGCTTTAAAAAGAAAAACAAACTAATCAAGAAGATGTGCTGAAGCACGCCTGTGGTACGTAATACCAGCACATAAGAGGCTGAGGCAGGAGCATGAGTTCAAGATCAGCCAGGACTACAAAGTAAGACCTTGTCTCAAAACAAAGTCAAAGAGTTTTTTTTTTTAATGTGTATGTGATTTTATGTAGCAAAATTAATAGTTTTATGTACTGTTCATAGATACATTAAAATTTAAACTTTTAAATATTATGTATTTCTTTTTTTTTAATCATTTATTTATTTATTCATTTGGTATAGGGTCTTGCTATGCAGGTCAGACTTGTAGTGATCCTCCTGTCTCAGCTTCCTCAGTGCTGGGATTACAGGCATGTGCCTCCACACCTGGTTTTGGTGACATGGCATGCGGTACCAGGAATCGAACCTCGGTCCTTGCTTGAAAGGCGCTTAGACCGCTGACCTCTCCCCAGTCCTATGTATTTTATTATATATTTTAACATTTTTTGTTTTGTCATATACTGTGCATGTACCTAAGGCACTGAAGAGCCAATATAAAGGTTTTAACAAAGTTGGATTTGAATTTTATAAAAACAAAAAAATCCCTGGCTTAAGGTAAAGGATGACAGAAATGAGGCAAAGAAATCATGATTTGGATCTAAATTCCTCAAATTGTACACATTAAATATGTTTATTTTATGTATCACTTATATCTCATACAGCTATTTAAAATAAATAAAATATTAATCAGCTATAAAAGAAAGGAAGAAAAAAGCAAGCCAGTGGTTTGGAAACATTATCAGGGCCTGAATTAAGTGTATTAGTTTTTATTTTTTATTTTATTTTTTTTTTAATTTTTTTATTATTTTATTTATTTATTTATTTTATTTAGTGTGTGTGGCCAGCTCAGCCCACCAGGGGGCCGATGCTGGCTGGCATGTGGTGCTGGGGGATTGAACCATGGTCCCTGTGCTTTGCTTAGCTTACCTTGTTCTAAGTAGGTGCTTTAGACCACTGAGCCATCTCACCAGCCCCGTATTAGTTTTTATTGTTGGTGGTGTTTTTTTTTTAATTTATTTTTTGTATCAGGGATTGAACACATGACCTTATACTTGTCAGACAGGTACTTAAGCCGCTGAGCTATCTCCCCAGCCGTAAGTGTGTTAGTTTACTCAGTCTCCCACAATGAAGTACCAGACTATTTGACTTTAAACAACAGAAACTTTTATTATGGTTCTGGAGGCAAGAGGTCCAAGGTTAGGGTGCCAACAGGGTTTCAGGTGGCTACCGCCTCACTGTGTGCGG